TCCTTGTAGATTCACTCAAAACTGCAGCAAAATCATTTCTAGTTCCGTCATTTTATATAAATAGCAAAAATAATATTAGTGCATGGTTCTCATAGGACACCTTTAGATTTATCAGATTCCATATGAAAGAATTTCTCTTATGAGTAAGCTGTGCCTTACCACACATGCAGCACAGTATGTGCTTCCGCATCAAAACTGGCATCCACAAAGCACATCTTCTGGCTATGGAGCTCAGAATCGGTTCTTTTGCAGACATCATTTATGTAAGAGTGCATTGCACATTGTAGGAAAAGTAGGACAAAGGCAAATTTGGGGGTTTGATTTTTTTGCATGTGACGAATCCCTGTTACATGCAATAAGCCTCTGTAAGATTGCAGGCACCTCAGCCAGGATTTGAATCTGCCAACTGGGGAGCCCTAGGCCAGCACAAAAAGAGAGCAGCACCTTATTAACTTGGAAATGTTATCGTAGTGAATACAGACAAAAGAGAACAAGAATTGTTAAACTTTTAGCGTGAAATAGCAATAGAAGACTAAGAGTTGTGTTAATGCAGCATACACAGTAATAAAAGGAACAACAATTTTTTTTTTTTAATTGCCAAATCTTTAATAAACGTGAATACAAGGTTATTCCACAAAAATCTAACAGCCACATAAGTGATACTTTACATTCTCACACCCTTCTTACTTGGGGATGTGGTATAGTCTCAATAGTAAACAAAGGGTCCAATGAATCACTGAATTACACTACTGGGAACATTGGCTGGCAAGAAATGACTGGCAGAGCATCTTTGTATTACACCATGCAGACATGTGTGAATATTCTAAACTTTTGGATGTCAGTTATATAATTTATAGCTTCATAAACAAACTTTACAGAAAATTTTGAATTGGTTTCCAACAGTTGACCAACTCTTCAGTAATTTGGCTCTGTTAAGTGCGCTTCCCCCACGACATGGATGCATTGCCATGAAGCAGCAGCGGTGTGGACGATGCTTCCCCGCAGGTCTTGTAGCGTGCGGAAGAGAGCTCCTTTCAGGCGGGTTTGGGAGTGAGGATTTTGGAGACGTTGGGCGTTTGTTTTTCTACATTTTACGACAATTACATTTTTCTCTGAACTCAAAATGTGTTTTCATAAAATCTAGGTATAAGTGAAAATCACAATGAAAATAATAATTTGCGATCTTTTGCAGATTGTAACTTTGGAATATTTTTTTGTGTGTGAATGTTCAATTAATTTTTTTATAAACATTGCAAAACTATATGTGAAGTGAGCTTACTAAAACTGCTAAAGCGTGTCTGGATTGTGCTATACTTTAACATGTACTGCAATTCATGAAGGTAGGGCGAGGGATAGGAAGGCCGGGGAGGAGGAAGCAGACGGAACTCTGGAAAGAAGAGGGGGAAACATTCTCCTCTCTCTAGCGTTCCGCCTGCTTCCTCCTCCCTGGCCATTCCTTTCTCTCGTCCTACCTTCTTGAGAAGCCAATTTTGTTTATATATAGTTTTTACCTTTAGTTGTGAAAATGTTGTAAAAGGTGCCAACATATTTCATGTGCTATTGTATTCTTTATTTACAAAATACCATTCATTTACACTTGATGAAACTTGTTCTTTTTTTATTTATTCCCACAGTAAAAACTAAGAGTGGATTATTTTGTTTATTTTACTAACTCTAACTTTATATTTATTTAATTAGATTAAGAATTCTAAATTTCAATTCGAATTATTCATAGAGTGCAAGAGCTGGGGTCCATCTTTGATTTTATTACGTACACATGACTATATAATGTGTTTTAATGAATTTCGCATAAACAAAGCACGAAGTGAGAGAAGCTAAGAAGGGGTGGAATGGCGACAAAGTTGTCTGGCGAAACATCAGTTGCACTTTGAGCCATCCAGGAAGTTTTTAAGGCATGTACGCCTTTTGTGCACGGCACATCTTGGGGGCGTTGACTATTGAGATGGCAAGCTTATAAAACTGTCTTATTAAAATATTTTTTTTGTGTCTATAGCAATTGTTTCCATATACTACATGGAAACCATTCAAATACGGGGTGGGTCAAATAAACCAATTAGTATCAGCAAATGCCAAATATGTAATAAAATCAAACTTTCTTTGTCTTTCATGTGCTTCAAAAATAACAAAAAAAACTTGGGAGACGCTTAAGCTTGCCTTTAAGAGTGGAATGCGATAGAGCTATTGGGCCCCGTTTGCAAAGCCTTCTCTATAAACCCGCACTCGTTCCGAAGCTGTGTAAGCGTGAGTGTATGGTCTAGTCGATAGCGTCATGTGACGTCACACGTGCTGCGCGCATTGCCATGATGGGATTTTTTGGTCCCACCAACACCGACGCCGGATTCTCTGCAAGACAAGCTCCTAAATGCTATCACAGTGAAACATGGAGTGAGTGGGTAAAATGATCTTGAAGTAGCTTGAAGCTGGGAAAAAGCTCAATCTTCTTGATGTGCATTGTTGCTGTGTAACTTGCAGCTGTCTTTTTCTGTACGGTAGTGCGACTTAATTGCCTCTATGTGCACAGATTAGACAGAACAATTTGTTTCACTGAGAGCGTACGTGCACTCAATTCCATTGCACAGAGTTGGAGCACCAGTCGGAACATATATGTTGTCAAACTTTAATCGCTGTACATTTTAGAACTATGTTTACTTTTTATTATTATTGGGTAACAATAAACATTCCTCCTTTTTTCTTATTCAGCATTATTAAGCAACGAAATGTGGCAAAAGGGTGCCTCATTTTGTAAGAAGAATCATACCTGTTTTTATATCGGACTGAACACTGCGACGCTCTATTCCATAGGTTCACCCTTTGCGGCACTAAACGTTACTCGTGCTGAAATAAATAAATAGTGAATTGAAACAAGATTTACTATAAGGAAAGAGGGACATTGGAGACCAACAGACAAGATAAAGATAAGGAATAATTTTAGTTCTCATTTTTCTTCTCCACCGCCACCTTGCTCTCTTTTTTATGCCCATGCCGTCCGCCCCCCCCCCCCCCCCCCCCCCAACGTTTTTCGTAAAAAATTCAGGTCAACACCGCCCCCCCCCCCCCCCCCCATAAGCGTAGACTATGGGGGGCAACGGGGCTCGTGCCCCCCCCCCCCCCCCCCCCCTGGTGAAATCCGGGGGGGGGGGGGGAGGGGCAGAGCCCCCCCCGGGCCCAGGCCCGGGCCATGATCCTTACTGAGACGCTGTTTACGTGCCATGTAACGAGCTTCTAGTAGCGGCATGTAAACAAATTAACGCGCACGTTGCCTTTATTGACAAAATACATGGCAAATGGAATTCCAGCGTGTTTTCGTTAGCTTCAATCTCCAGTTCTGGCAAAAAAATAACGCGCAGCACCCCCCCCCCCCCCCCCCCCCCAGGGAAAATGGTCTACGCGGCCCCCCCCCCCCCCCCCCCCCCTCTTTTCCAAACACACAAGCAAGCACTTCCGTCTTTTAATAAATGACCACCTGTTGAAACTCGTCACTGTTTTTGTTACAACTTTGCGATGTAACAGAATTGAAACAAAAAAAGAAACAAGCATATATTTCAAACATAATTATAATAAGCACACTTTTTTGGAATTACGAACATTGTTAAACAGCACAGCAAAACTATAGTGAGTGTGCGTTTAAACTCCTTCAACGAGTGATCGTCGTCGAGGTAGCCGATCTACTGGCCGTGTATACTTTCTTCACGTCTTTCAAATACTTTATTACGATGCCTTGTCCATCGCGCAACTCTGGTGCTCCTAGCGAGTCCTCCGACTCCAACGATGAATCTACTGCGAAATCAGTCGGTTTCGGATTGAGTTTCGTTATTGATGCCTGCAGCGCGCCTCCGACTGGCGTTTTAAGAGTCCTACCTTCCTACGCCGCCCCAGCATGACCCTAGTATTGTCGTCATTGCGCGGAAACAGGCTTTTTTTGGACGAGGGGAACCAATATTGGGTAAACACACGCAGGCCAATATTTTCGGTTTCAGAAAGTACGCGGGAAGTTTCCGCGCGCACACTCATAGCACCCTATTCCAAACCAAAGATATAAATTAAATAAAATCAAAGCAAATACTTGCTTTTTTTAACATTTTATTCAATGCTACGCCACTTTCGTTTTTTTTTTTTTTGGTATTGAAGCGACGTCTGAAAACCCTGAAAAACCACGGGTGCTGCTGTGCGAGGTCGAATCTCCGGGGACGGCGAAACAGGTGCGGGAACGCGTGAAGGAGACAGAAACGACCAGATGGGTCGCCGCGGTAGGCGCGCGGCCGTCCCTCGCCGTCTACGGTGCGGAAAAGAAGAGCATTGTGGGCGTGGATTTCGTCGACAACTCGAGGGGCAGTGGGCTGCTGTGCGAGGCACGAAGTGGAGTGTTGAGGACACGCCACCTGAGGTCCAAGTACACACCGGGGATGGACGGTACATGCCAGCTATGTGGCCAGCAGGAGGAGACAGCTGAACATATCATAATGGAGTGCCGAGAGCTGAGACCGCTGATGCCACCAGATCTGGTGGATTATGCGGTTGCACTGGGTCTGAAAAGGTTGGACTTGGGACCGACACCATCGACAGGGCAGGGGCAGACGACGCAGACGACGTGCATCAATGAAGTGGGAAGTCGAGACCATGGTGGCCAGCGCAGTCAGCGGGGGGATGTCGGCGGCCTCGGGGTGGTTGAAATCGCAAAGCGAAGACTGGAGGACTGGTGGGGGAAAACTGTGAGGAGGGTGGGGGGCAATGGCAATCAAATTTAGGTTGTTTTTTTTTTTTTTTTTTTTTGGCTAGATCCAGTTTTGTGTAAAACTGTGATCGCCCGATACAAAGGGTTAAGCCACCATATCCATATCCATATCGCTTCCCACCGAGGAGGCTTCTCACTGTAGGACGGTGATAAAGCTGTGTTCCAAATTTTACCCAAATGGATCCGAGTTACTCCGGCAGATCACGACACCACAGATTGGAAAAGGAATAGAACGCTGAACCAGTAAATTTTGGAACACGGCTTATAACCTATAACGTACATTGTAATAACTCTGGATAGAAATGACAGAAATGATCGCGACACACCGGTCGGAGATACACATGTCAAAGTTGCGCTACAATTTTTGGCAAAATGGGCAAAACGGGCAAAACGTGAGCGCCACAACCTGCCACAACTGCTAAACCACGTGACTTGTGACGCGTGCTAGGCGGCTCGGCTGGCTCGGCTGGCTGGGGTGACGTAAACCGCGTAAAGTATGGAGTTTCCGACAGTTCCGACACGAGTAAGTTTGTGAAAGTTTGTCTCGAAAATTGAGAGTGGTGTCAGCTGAAGGTGGCGTGTCCACCTTGTCTCAAGACCTTCACGGTAAGTTCACGTCGTTCACGGTACTAGTAAAGTCTTTCTTTGTCCTCAATATATATAACCAGACAGTGACTCCGTGTAACTTAACTCGGACGCCGTTCACCTGGCACTGCGATCCTGTTTTTTTGGCCGATTAGGCCCGTCTATCAATCTGATCATGTCTTAAATGTGTCGCCCACCTTGTCTCTCGCAGTTGGTCATTATTTACGACTCGCACGCGCCATCTGGGTTTCTCACCATCATAGTTCAGCTGCGCGTGACAAGCCCCGGGGAAGGGAAAACTCGGGTCCGCGGACCGTGTGCGCGCCCTCTCTTGAACCACCCACAAGGCTTTCTTTTTCGTTTGGTTCTTTGTGGTGGTGTAATGCTTGCAGGTATCGAAATAAAGTACCGTTGATTGATTGATGTGAGGCTTAGAGCGGAGCTCCGGCGCCATTTGAGCGTTTTCAACTAAACATATTTTCTGAAAAAGTACAGCAAGTAAAAGTGTACAAAGAGTACAGCAATTGAAAGAGTACAAAGAGTACGGCAAATGAATTTCTAAGGAAATTTTTCAATAATTTTCAATGGTTAAAATACAATATAAATGAAACCAACATTACTAGAACAATTTGGGAAAGTGCCATGGGCGCCTGCTCAAAGTGGCTCTGAACCGTACTCGAGAACCGAGCAAGACGCAATCGCAACGCCACCATTTCTCCCGCAACGGCAGCTCAGGGAGCTGCACGACCGCATGTACTGGTCCAGTCGAGTAGTGCAAGGTCCGGTGGCGCCATCCCGCAGCGGCATCTCGCAGTAGCTATATAAAGCAACTTTCACCTGTTGACTCGCCGCTAAAGGGTGGCGCCATAATCATATCTAGTTCGGTCTCGGCAGACTCGAGTGGCCCGGGTTTCAAGGGTGAGTTTCCCAACTGAGTTGTTCTAGTAACGTTGACTGAAACCGAAACTAACCTGCAACCTTACTGGTCCGCCATCTTGTTGCGACATCAGATGTATAAACATCAGCACATGGGCAGCTTGAGCCTATTTCGCTCAGTGTCAGAAGCAGTCAGAAGGCCGTTGCTATCGTCTGTTGGGAAATGGTGGGCTATGATTCATCAAGCTAGTCTTAGTCAAGCAATGACCAGCAAACTTTTTAAGATTATCTGTGCGAAATTTCAGACGATTCACCATTCGTATTCGTTCCACCAGCATCGCCTGTGAGGGGACTTCCTGTGGGGGCTACATTTGCGATCCACTGACGTGTGGATCCAGATGCGGTGTCGAAGCAGAACGGCATGGAAGGTTTTATTTGTTATTAAGTTGTGAACTGCACAACGCAGACCCTCTCTATCGCTACAATGCGCAACGGTGTGAAGCAGGGAGTGTCGTTTGCTCTCGGATACAACATTTGGTGTTACGAGTGTCCCCGATCGTTGTTGCAAGTAGAGCGGCAACAAGTGATTTGGAGGTGTATGCACAAACTTCAAAATAATTTTCTCGATAGGAAATTGATATTTTTATTAAATATTTCGTAGACGTAACCACGGGCAGATATTTTGTTCATGGTGAAAATTTTATAAAAATCAATGACCATCAATATTTTGCTGGAGCACCCCTTTAAGGAGTAAGCTTTACCCCCAGGCTCTTCCTCTGCCTATGTGAAAGAAAAATACTATGAAATCACCATACTATACATTGCATGGGTCCATATCACGTATCGTAAAATCTGCCCACTTCGTCCAAGCACCCACTACTAACATTTCCCCCCAAACTTGGAAATCCTGCAAATGATACGTCAACTGCATGAGTGCCCATGGAGGGGGGGGGGGGGGGGGTCTAGATTAGCCCAGTTTTCAGTAAAAGTGGGGTGGGTGGTCCCCCAGTATCTTACGGTAGTTGAAATATGTTTCATGGAAACACGTGCATTTTGTAAATAACTTTTCATGAACACAGATTTGTTGACACTGTGGCGTTTTCTTGACACATGGTCTTGCAATTGAACCCTGTAAGTGATAATGTCACAATATTGCTAGGGCTGTTGTTATGGAAAAATGCATTGGGGCTCGATGTCAGGTTAGATTTTGCCCGATAAAAATGTGAACTATTTTTGTAAGCATTGTTTCTTCTCAATATCTAATCATAAAGACAAACATCTTTCGTGGTGTTATGGACAGGACAAAAGATGTTTGTCCTGTCCGTCCTCTTCGTCTGACTCTTTCGTATATTTTTGAGCCCGTAATAAAGTTTCACAACCACATTGTTGTGAGACTTTGAGAGTTGTCACGAGTTGTGCCCTTTAATGAGGCTGTGGTTTTGGGAGGAATGTGTGCGGGACATGGGGTTGGACACTGCAACTGCTCGTCTCAAAGTAGTGCACGTTTCATTGATTATGCTTGCGGTTCTGTGTGGCTGTTTAGCTCAAATAAACGCAGCATGGATTCAATCTAAATTGTATGAAATGTAAACATGATTTCTTTTGTATGCCTCCATTACGAAGGCTTGACAGAGACAAAAATATGACACAGACGGTGTTAGACCAGCCGATTCCGCAGTCAACTCAAGAACATGCAATGCTACATGGACCCTCAGGTTATACTGCACTGTCTAAATTTCTCTCTCAAGGCAGACTAATACCCCTGTTTTTCAGGCATGCTAAAAGCCTTCAGATCAAACTCCTGAATAGGGGAACCAGCGTGCGCTGATCGGTATGTGCGGAGCCGCAATGACGAGTCGATTCGCCATTTCTTCAAAAGGGTTCCTACCAAGCTTGTCCCGTTATTACCAATATTGGGCACATACTGGGGTAATATTGGGGATGCTGTCTAGGAATATCAAGCTTGTTTCAATATTTACCAATATTGGGTACATACTGAGGTAATATTGGTAATAATAGTCAGTCATACCAAGTTTGTCACAATATTAGCCAATATAGGGCACAAATCAAATAATATTGTTAATATTAGCCAGCCATATAACTCTTTGCCCAATATTTCCCAATATTGTTAGATACTGGGAAATATTGGTAATATTGCCAACCACAAAACTTTTCCAAACATTAACTAATATTGGGCACATACTTGGGTAATATTGGTAATATTGTTGAGGCGTACCCTAGATTTGACCCAATATTTGACTATATTAGGTATATACTGGGGTAATACTGGTAACAATGGCCAGTCATACCCAGCTTGACAAGCTTACCAATATCGGGTACATACTGGGATAGTATTGGTAATAGGCCCTTTTCAAAAAATCTGGCAATAGCGAAAATCCGCTGAACGAGTCCAACAACATTGGGCGGCCGGCGCCATTGGGAAGGACTCCGTTGCGGCTGGCAGAGTTGTTTTGACTGTAGCGTTCTTGTTTCGTCGATCCCTTCGCCTCTGTGTGGCTGCAAATAGCGTTTTCTCGATCACGCGTGGGTAAACAACCTTTCCCAGCTCCCAGCCGTTAAAGATGATGAGGTATATCGCTTTTTCAAGAACCGATCGGACTCGCAACAATTCGACAGAAGTTACAACTTCCTCGTTGAGGGGTTCGTGGTCGCCACCTCCATAAAGACCAACTACTCAAGAAAAAAGTAATTACTAAGATCTTTGTAGTTACAACATCAAACATGTGTTAATATGCATCAGAAAATTATAGGAACCGGTTATAATTTACGGGCTGTAGTTAGAGGTCGCCAGTACTCTCCGGATGTGCGACAAAACAGGCGCAGGGGTCCCGCTTCGCTGTCGCCCGGACAGTCGAGCGATGGAGCACACCGCATAAAAGCGACGAGCGAGCGATCAAGGCGATGAGCGTCGTTTTCTAGAAACCCCCAACCAAGCGACGCGACAAGTGACAGTGAAACATTTCGTCCCTCATAGCCGACTTTCGTCGCTTGTGCCGTCGCTCGACTCGTCTCTCGTCAAATCGCTCAGATGAGATTCAGCCTTTAACATAGACAGTGGTCACGCGAGCATGAAACGCCATCTTTACTTGCGCATGGTAGGGCGTGGCAATGTGTCAATGGGACTAGTAAAATATGTATTTGAGGTAAGTTTCAACTTGACACATTGAGCCACTTATTTTTGAGTGTCTCAAAATTGAAGCTACAAAGCTACAATTAATGGCCCGTCAGAAATCAGCAACTGAGTATCAAGTTGAAAGTTGCCTCAAATGCATACTTTAGTTGTGCCATTTACTCAATAAAAATCTAAACCTCTACTTCAAGTACAAAACAAACTAAAAAAAACAACAAAAAAAACGGACCTTTTGGAGGCATATATTTTTTATTGTTTTCTACTTGGAATTAAGACTTAAAATTTCAATGCGCAAATTCAAATAGTAAAGGACGTATTCGACGCAAGTTCCTACTTGATACGTCGAGTTCCTTTTTCTTGAGGGGGATTTTAGAGTTGAATTGTAGAGCAACAAATTTTGCAGTGAAGCAGAAGTTGCAAGCGCGTGCATGTTGCTTTGCATAAAGCATGCGCTGCACAGATGTCTGCGCTACAGGCAGGTTAAAGCGTCAGGTCGTATGGCTTCATGCGTACCTAACATATAATTTACACGCGCAAGCTTGAAGCACCGCGAGCTCGTGCATACCTGAAGCCAGGCGCTCGCGAAGCTGTCACGTCCACAAGCGATACCACGAGCAACATTATATTTGTATTTGACGCTTTGATTTCTTCAAACTAGCTGAAACTTGAAAACTCTACCTTTAAACGCAACAAAGTGAGATTAAAAACACCTGACTCAAACACCCAAGGAGCGTAGCGTAGGAACGGTTCGTGTTCCGTTTTTGCACTTCAGGAGGGAAACGTTTGCGCGGCTACGCCGCCGTCAACCGATAACGAGTACATTTACGAATGCGTACCTTAATGCCAGACTTGTCCAGATACCCACTCTGCTTACAGAGGGGTACGCAGCAGTACGTTGGCATCGTGGGCAGGAATTGACTAGCGACTATGGCCAACGCAGCGTATGCAGCGGTGCGCACCATCCTGCAGCATGGCGGCTGCCACTAGTTGCTGT